TTTTTTTTTTTTAACAGAAAATATCCGTTACATATATTTGGCCGAAAAAAAATATACGTTAGATATGGAGGGGCATGAAGAATGCTACCTGCACTTGACGGGTAGCTCTGATCAGTTAGGTGTCAAATTTTCTTTTTCTGTTTTTATTTGTAAAAAAGGTGTACACTCAGTACAGTCTGTTGAGTGCATTTAGCACTGATTTATTGATTATATATCTTACTTTAATGGATGGTTTAATGACAACTAATTAATTAATTTAATGGTTATTTTTTGAATTTGAGTTATATGATATATGGGTGTAATAAAATAATAGATAAAAAATAAGTATCTCTCGATAAATATGTAATCAAAATTTAAAAAATAGTTTAATGGTTAAAAATATAAACTTTTAAGTTGAAATCCTAAAATTGAAGCCTTGAATTGAGTGAAAAGAAATTTGAAATATGAGGGGTTATTATCTTTTGAATAGTCCATAATCAAATATATTAAAAAAATTAATTATATATCTTATAGGATTTTTATAAAATTATAAAATAAAAAAATATTATATAATTTAAATTATTTTAAATTATATAATTTTAATTATTTTAAATTATATAATTTTAATTAATAGATATATATATTTTATTTAATAAAATTTATTTTATAAGATAATCTAATAAAAAAATAGATATCATTTTTTATTTTTAAAGTAATTGAAATTTTAATATTAAAATACGTGATTTTATTTAATAAAAATTTAATTTAAACTTTTAAAAATATTTTATTAAACATTAATATATTATGATATATATAATTAATTTTTAAATTTAGATATCAATATTTAATAAGATGAAATTTTAATTTTTAGATATAAATTAAATCTTTAATAATTTTTAAAAATTGAGATTTATATATATTATTTTGAATATAATTTAAATTATAAAATAAAAAATTTAATTACAAAATTTTGAAATTTGTTCTGAAATAATTTGAAGGGCTATGGAGTTTTGATGAAGGTGAGCAGTGGAGTTGGAGTGAAGAAGTAATGCACATGAAATGAAATCCAATTTAAATTATTTTATGACAAAAAGGACAGGAAAAGAAGTTCGTCAGAATGATGGCAAGTGAACGTGCAGTATTTTAGACATCACCTCCACACGCGACTTTGTAGCGAGTGTTTTCACTTCTCCTAATTTACAAATGTGGAAACTACCACTGTAATTTTTTTTTATTTCATTTTTGTAATTAGTTGTTTACTCCTCTTAATAACATTCATCTTGGTAAAAGTATCTCACTAGGAAAATTTTTAAGAGCTAGGCATGTTAAACAACTAAAATCTAGTGTACTAACAAAAAAAATTAATCTTTGTGAACAGTTTCTAAATTGCAATGTAATACAAATGTAAATATTGATCATTTCATAAAATTGTCTATATATAACGATAATAATATCTAAATTTAACGGTTTTAACAAATTTTAACTGTTTTAATGAATTTTAACGGTTTTAACAAAATTTAACGATTTAGATATGAAATGAATATTTCATAACACGTGTGTTGGAGCTTATTCGACTTTTATAACATGCATAATGATCTAGATACAATTTTAACTAGTGAGTTATTTATATCTTGCATGATTTACTTAAATAATTAGATGTTAACATGTTATACTATCATTTTTCATCCTTTGAATATTTACTTATTTAAATTTCAACATAATGAAATGATTTAAGAAAAATAAATATAGATCTTATGTAAAAATGATGTTAGTTGATATATAATGACAACAATATCTATATCTAACGGCTTTTAACAAAGTGCAACGGTTGAATCTTCTATAAAATATATAATAACGTCTCAAATCTTTTTATCAAAATTTATTTGAATCTTCCATGACATGCGTAACGATTTAAATGTTAGTTGGATAAAGATTTAAAGTGATGGCAAGCATAAACATAAAAAAAAATTAAATAAAATAAAAAGTTGCCACATTGATTGATTAAAATTTAGAAACAATCTCACTACATTTTCTTCTCTCCCACCCTCTCTAATTAAAATTTTATGCTCATTATATGACCATAATTTTATATGGTATTCAAATGCCTTAAATCCAAGTACTGATTTTTATTAATATTTTATGCCATCCAATTCTCAAGTCTAGAATGGTAGATGACTTTGGACTCTTGATAAGATTTAACCCTTTAGGATATCCATATCTCATTTCATGTCTCTACTTCCCTAAGTACAACAAAATTTTAAAGAAAAGAATGTGGGAAAGAAACTTGACTGGACCATCATCATCCACTTTATCCATTTTGAGATTATGGGATATAAATTTAATTTAAGGGTGTAGAAATTGTGCATGTAAAGGGGGCGAGTGTTCATGGGTTTTTTTGAAGTTTTTGAAGCAGATCTGAAGCTGCTCTTCCACTTAGCCTTTGTTTTGTCCAATTCTGTGAAGACAAATCCCTCAAAAAATTAAAAGATGTAAGAAGGACAGAGAAAAAACAACGTGAGAGTGGGTTTACTCTCCCAAGGCTGCCTCTGCCTGCAGGTTTTGCACTGCCACCAAAAGTTTTAAGATACACATAAAGAGAGAGAAAAGATTAGTAACATCACCACCATCCATCAAAGCACCTTCCCTCTTCTCCTCCTCCTTCATAAACACCCAAATCCTGTTATTTTCTTTGATGTTCTCCATGGATGTCACAGAGGAAGCTTCACCTTCATTTCTGCTTATTGCCTCACCCTAATTATACTAAAATAATTATCAAATTGCACCCTTCAGAACATAAAGTCTACCCTTTTCTCTACCTTTCTTCTCTTCCTCTCTCTTCTTCATAGTAGTGAAATTTCTTCTGTTGTTTAGGTTTTTCAGTAGGGAAATTTATCTTGGTTTGGTTCCATGGATTCATATGAAGCTACAAGAATGGTGTATTCAAGGATCCATAACTTGGACCCTGAAAATGCCTCAAAAATTATAGGGTATTTGCTTATACAAGACCATGGAGAGAAGGAGATGATACGTTTAGCCTTTGGACCAGAGGCTCTTATACATGCGACGGTTATCACGGCCAAAACCCACTTGGGTTTACTCTCCTCCTCAAACCCACCAACACCCTCCACTCCTTCCTCCCCTTCTCCTTTCTCTTCAAGACCTCGTCCTCTGTCCATCCCTGCAAGTACCAGACTCAACGCTGCCAACAATGGCGGTTTTGACATCACAAACCCTTCTTCTCCGTTTAGCCACCTCCCCATGAGTCCCAGCACCAATTCTCCTCTCTCTTATGCCAGTATTGTCAATGGAGCTAACAACATTGCAAATGGGCCTGGATCTTTGCCCTCCATTACAAATAATTGTAACGAAAATGAATTCGTCGACGATTACCAGTTACAGGACCACCTTTCTTTCCTCAAGGAGTCCAAAGCTGAAGACTTGTTCGATCCCCGGCTTGACTTAGCGATGAGCCCAACTGGGTTGGGCGATTCTTCTCTGCACCGGCGGAGTTTCTCTGTTCCAGGAATGTGTTTTGGCTCTGAAGATGTAAATTCTGGGTTGGGATGGAAACCCTGTTTGTACTTCGCCAGGGGATTTTGCAAAAATGGCACTAGCTGTCGATTTCTTCATGGGGATTGTGCCGACGGTGGGGCCTCCGCCGTCGTTGGCTCGCCAAGCAATCTCAACGAGTTCGAACAGTGCCAGGAGCTGCTTAGATCAAAGGCGCTCCAACAACAACAACAAAAACTTGCCTCTGCTTCTCAGTTCATGGCAGCCGGAGCCTCTTTTCCATACAACAAATGTTTGAATTTTCTGCTGCAACAACAAAATGAGACCCAAAGGTACACAAAAAAATACACATTTAACCATTGCATTTTTATCAAGTGCAAAGTCGTAGCTTTGAGAGAAAAATGTTAATGGGTTTTGGTGTGCAGATCGGCAGCACCATTGATGATGGGGGATGAGCTTCTCAAGTTTGGCCGGGGCCGCCTGGAAAGGAATGATTTTTCATCAATGGGACTAGGAGGAATGGTGAACCCAGGTTCCAGACAGATTTACTTGACATTTCCAGCTGACAGCACCTTCAGAGAAGAAGATGTCTCAAATTATTTCAGGTAATTGAGCCATTGTTTTCTGCAACACTTGATCTGATTGTTGAATTTCCACTAAAGATTGTTTTTGTTGTAGCATTTATGGACCAGTTCAGGATGTGAGGATTCCTTACCAGCAGAAGAGGATGTTTGGGTTTGTTACATTTGTGTTTCCTGAGACAGTGAAGATCATTCTGGCTAAAGGAAACCCTCATTTTGTTTGCGATTCGCGTGTGCTTGTTAAGCCTTACAAGGAGAAGGGGAAAGTTCAAGACAAGTAAAATCCATTGTTTCTTCATTATTGTCTTTCTGTTTCTTGTAATCTTCATTGATATATTTTGTTGCTAACCGTGTGAGTTTTCTAGGAAGCAACAGCATCAGCAACAGCAATTGGAGAGGGGAGAGTATTCGGCCTGCCCGAGTCCATCCGGACTTGATTCTAGAGACGCATTTGATCTCCAACTTGGTAAGCAAACTGTGAAGAAGCGTAACTATTTCTTTAATAGTGAAATTCAAGTGGTTGTGTAGTGAATGTCTTATCTTGATACCAACTTAGGAGCAAGAATGTTTTACAACAATACGCAAGAGGTGTTGTTGAGGAGGAAATTAGAGGAGCAGGCTGATTTGCAGCAAGCCATTGAGCTCCAGGGGAGAAGGCTGCGGAATTTGCAGCTTCTTGACCTCAAGAATCATCAGTTCCACCATGGTCTGTCCGCTGGTTCTCCTGTCCCCTCACCAACTGTATCCCTAGCCCCAAACAACCACGCACTAGTTTTCCCGGTCGATGGCATTGATCAAGAAGCACTTCCAGAAGGTTAACATTAATATTGTATGTGCAATTTCAAACGTTTTCAAGTTTCGTTAGCTAGTTATTTTATTTTATTTATTTTTTGCTACAGAGATTGGTGGTAGTACGGCTGCTGCCACATCCCAGACCCAGACTGCTGGTGCAGATGCTGATAAGCAGCTGGAGCAAGTGAATCCAGCTTGCAATCATAACAATGACAATGGTAATATTAATAGTAAGGGGAAGAAAATCAAAAGTGAAGAAAGTGATCTCCCTGAAAGGTATAACACATGATTTCAGATGTTCAGGGAAAGGTTGCCCACAATAGGAAACACCATATTCCACTTAATTTCTCTGCAAACTTTCCATCTAGTAGATTTGAGAAATCCGTCGTTTACATTTTATATTTACGTCATTCTGAAGATTGCTTCTCTTGTAAACATACAGCTTGGATCACATTCTCCCTGATAACCTCTTTGCTTCACCGAAAAAGTCCACTAGCGACCACCTCACTGCTTTCTCCACTGCTTCTGTAGAGGTTGTTGACAAAATCCCAAGTCCTACAACATCAAGTTCTGGCAACAACAACCCTTCCCTGGCTTCTCTTAACTCATGCTTTCTACAAATGCCAAGGTACTTATCACTACTTTCCGTTTCTTTAGCCACAGCAATAAAAACACATTCTTTATATTCCTATGACAGAAGGGAAGTTAATCATGATTAATTTTGGCATGAAGGATTTCTTCTGGACACGGTGCCATTGGCATGTAGTTGGCTTAGGTGCATGGCTAGCAAAGAGGGGATTGAATATGTTAGGGTAAGAGACCATCAATCTTTTTCCTAAGCACATGGATACATGGTGGTCAAATGTGGTTCTCTTTGTAATGTTGGGGTTATTGTTTTCAATGTTTGCAGAATATATTGGAAGCATATACAAGGTCAAGGAAGAAAAAAAAAAATTCCTCAAGCTGTATATCTAAAACCATACCCACAACAAAGGAAAAGATCTCTAGGCAAGGTCTCAGCAAGATCACCATCAGCAATCCATACAATACTATTTACAATCAATACATAATGCATAGGCAAAGGACAGATGAACAAATTTATGGGAGTGGGGTCTTTTCTCTTCATCTTCTGTGTACCCTCCCTCTAGGTAAAGTTGTCTTGGACCACAAAGCAATAGCAGCAGGAAAAAAAACAAAGGCTAGCAGCAGTGATAGTAACTCTTTTCTCATATATATTGTAATTTTACTCTTTAACCCTCCTTTCTAGTGAGGTGAAAAAAAAACTATAAAGAAAATGAAAGTTGTATGAAGAATAGACCCTGGAAGTTTAAAAAGCAGTGTAGCAGGAGCATAACTACTATTCTGATGCACAAACTTAAAAAGGAAAAACAGGCCAATGACTCAGACGGGTGTTTGGGGGGGTGGTGGAGGATGAAAGCTGTCTCAGGCACTTTTGTAAGTTTTTGTTGTTCTTGTTATCTCAGTGCCTGTCATGTATTAGATTTTGAAGCAGGCAGGCAAGTGAACAGGAAGGAAAGGTGTTGGAAAAAAATAAAAGAAAAATGGGAAAAAGAAAAGGTTGCTCTTTCATGTGATTAAAGGTGACTTTAGGGGACTCTTTTGTCTCATTTTGTGGTTTCTTTTAGGTGGGCATGAATGGGTAAGGGCCACACTATCACATGGGTTCTGACAGATATATATCAAATGGTATCTCTGGCTACCACGCACTCCTTTCACTTTCACTCTTTTAACCTCATTCACATTTTAATATTTGATTCTGATTTTTGTGTTTTCTGGGTCTTAGTGCCCCCCTTCTCCCCTCCTTAAATCAAGCTGGGACAGGCCCTACATGTGCTGTTTGTTTTCAATGTTCTCCCTGCTTCAAAATCCTCTCCCGAGGTCAAAATCCAAACCCTTTTTTAAAATGTTCAGGAGAACCAGTACCATGTAAGGATGCTGGTTTTTGAGGCAGGTTAATCAGATTAACTAGTGGGGATTCAATAGATCCTTTTAAAGTAATCAAGATTATTTCCATAGGGTGGTCTGTTTTGTCATGTTAGATTATTTGCATAGGGTGATCTGTTTTGTCGTGTGTTTTGCTCGCCAATGTTTTGATCAACGTGTGTTATGCAGGAGCACCATGAAATTTCCCTTGTTGTCTAAAATAGCACTAATCTCGGGTGATGGTGTAATGTCGGCATCATCATCATCTTCCCCCCAATTCCTTCCAAATTAGCTGGCTAGCTCATTGCAAACAAAAAGCACTTGATATCTCTAATGCAGGTTTATTTTGTCCTTAGAAACAGTATTATCATCATCATGTCTAAGGATGAAGTCAAAATCGTAACCATATTTTAGTCCAACTTTAGACGTCCCGAGTTAGAAATTTCACAGGGTAGTGGTTAGGATATTTTTACGTTCTCAAGCCAAGTGATGCATGCCTCCGTTTGTTGTTTTTACTTTGTCATTGATTAAATATAGAATTATATATCTAAAAAGTGTAATGCAGTTTGAACTGTATTAAATTGTATTACATTAAACACTAAATAGGGTAAGTCCCTTGATATTGTAGATTTTTCCCTCCATTCAATAGTACTTGTTTTACCATTTAGCATAATATAAACTATAAAATAAGATTCTCATTATATATCTAGGTTATTATTTATATAGGATTGGGCCTACTAAGTATGTAATAAAGGTCAAAAAAATTGCAAACAAAACACTCAAGGCAATGGAGATCAGAGGGGATGAACAAAGGAAAGTTTAAGATGATTTGATAAAATAGGTTATTTCAGTTGATGATCCAGGCATACAAATCCCCTATTTATAAAACAATGATAGAGTTATAATCTCATATAGAATTGTAAATTTATAATTTTAAAGTGTTAATATAAATTACAATGGATGAGTCATTAAATAAAAAAAAATCAAATTTATAATCACACGTAAAGATTATTGATAAAAGGTAAAATACTCTCTACATGTGGTAGACCCTTAGTGATCCATATAGCCTTAGGGATTAGCTTTGTAGAGACTTAGGGATTAGCTCCGATGTCTCTACAGGTACTCTAGGTCAAGCTCAAGGAGCTTTCTTAAGGAAACTTCATTGAGCTAAGTTTCCCCATGGCTTTTAGGACTTAGTTGGAAGCTTTATGTATGACCTATGAAATTATGAGAGCGTAACTTGGGTATAGTTAAGATCTATGAACTAGCACCTTCGACCTTGTGGTCAAGACAAAGTATCAGGTATAGTGAGGCCATATAAAAATGGCAAACACGTCCAATAAAGTCATAAATCATTAGGAAACATTTTTTATCGTCATAGTCACATGACACTTTTCTATTAGTTGTTATAGTTGCGATGGTATTTTTCTTGTAGGTTTGCAAGGAACTTAGCAAATTAGATGTGCATATCTAGTAGGTTTCCACCAAAAAAGACAAACTATTAAAGGGGTCTTCTTCCCCAACTCAAAGGTGATTTTCTCTCTCTTTTCTGCACCATTTTCCTCTATTTTCTCTCCTCTTCTCCTCCTTCATCTTTTATTAGAATACTGCTAACTTGAGTATCATAGTACGAATGCTGAAGCCACTTCCAGTGCATGCACTAGCCAACTTTCCTTTTTCCTGTGCAAGGATTTTCAAGCTCCCAACAGCTAAGTCAAATCTGTACAATGAGAATTCCTCTTTTGCTCACGACAATAAATTCAAGATTATCAATTATAAATTTAAAATATTATATAAAACTATACCTACATCATTTTCGTTATTTATATATAGTAGTACTGTAGGTAATTCATACTTTATGAAATGAGCCGAACTTTCGTGGGCGGATTTTGTATGAATTGACTTAAGAAATATTCCACATTCGCAGAGCAAATGATTATTGAAGTTTTAATGCATGTTTGATTGCTTGCTCTTCAAGAAAAGAAAACGGAGAAAGTTACAATTTGACTTATTGGGCGAAACAGTCCATAATTCAATCAACCCACAGCTGTCGCTTTTTGAGCTTAATGGCAGCAATCAACTGAGATTTTTTTTTTCTCATTTTAACTTTTTTTTTTTGAATTGAAGCAATTAAGATAGAGTTATAGGCAACTCTATTTTATAATTCATATTATATTAGATGGTAAATAAAAAATTATTAAATAAAAAAATTTTAATATTAGAAACTTAATTTTTTTTTTTTTTAACATGAAAATGTGGGGTAATAAAAGTAATTTGATTATTATTGTAACGGATAAAACTCTAACAAACGTCAGGAGTTTAATATATCTGAACTCAAGAAGTCAAAATTGTAAATGCAAAACTTAATTGTATTTTAATAGTTATTATAGTGTAATCTAATAGTATAAATTACATTACACTTTTTTTTTTTTTAAGATAGTTTTACTTTCAACACTGCGAATTACTGCTCCTATGCATCATGGATCGGGGTTTTGACTGTTTGCATTTACTGTTAGGTCACCATTCACCAATCAAGTGGGGTAATAATTTTTTACTCATCGGGATGATAATATTCTACTCAATAAGTGCAATTTCCAAAATAGTTTCAAATAAAGCTTAAGGAGTGCATGGACATTGATATATCATGAGACATGAAAATGACATACTAATGTGGCTTTACCAAAAGTGGTCATCATGACCAAAATGGGCTTCTTAATTAACCCATGATTTCCCCCTCCCCCCCCTCTCGTGTTAGGGCCCAATTCAATAATTAAATAATTTTGCACTTTATTTTTAATATTAAAAGGAAAACAAAAAAAATCTAGTGAAGGATATGGAGACAATCATGGAACTTGATAAAATAATGCAGGATTTATAACTGTAATCAATTATTTAATCACTCGTTTAATATTATATCACATTTCATAAAATATTATAAAAACAAAAAAATTGTAACTCACTATTTTCTTATCTAAATACAAGGCTTGTTTTTCCTTTTCATGTGAGAATATGAAGACTTTTTGCTTTCTCCTACAATTGATTGACAGTAGGGGCAATAGAGTCACTTGAGTAAATAATCTTTGACAGACAGACAGACAGACAGACATTGTTAGCGTCGCATTAACGGGCCGTCTTCTCACACCCAGATCAAAACTAGGGATGTTTCGTGGGCTAGTGCAAGGCTTGGGCCGAATGGTGTGTCTTAATTTTTTAAGCCCAATTCAGGGTAATTTTTTTTTTTTGAACAGTTTTGTCACGGGGCGGGTTCAAAACCCGCCACATGAGAGGGGATGTGCACTTTTCAGTGACTCTAACCACTGGGGCACGCGGGCCAAGTGCCCAATTCAGGGTAAATTAATTACTTTAAAAAATAGGAAAATAAATGTAGTGCTGAGATTGAGGAGGAGAGAAGGTGAAATTATTGAGGAAATCAGGAGTCAGTCAGCCTCGTGGGCATGGGCGTCCTGCAGTGAAGTTAATCCTAACTCATTTATAAATACACCTTTCTATTTAATTAATTAATTTATTTTCATGTATTTATAATTTTTTATTTTTAATAAAAAAATTATTATTAAATTATTCAAATTTTTAATAATTTATAAATTAATTTAAAACTATAAAAAAAGGCGGTATAAAGAGAAGAAACTATAAAAAAAGAGTTTTATATTTTTTTGGACCTTCCTTGACAATAAATGTGTGGTTCAATACTAAAATTATTATGTAAAATACTTTAATAAAATTATTTTTTGTTAATTTATTAATGATATTTCTTATATTAATTATGCAGTTCAATTTTTTTTTTATTAGGGCAAATGGTTCGAGGGTAGGGAAAATGATCGAACCCTTATCATGATAAAAAATACTTATATTAAACTGCTGGATCATTAGACCAACAAAACTTTTTCATTATATAGTTCAGTTTTAAAAAATACTTTTTATAGGAAAAATCAAATAACATTACCTTTTATTGAGCTATTTTTTAGTTTTTTTTAATTGCCCCATAAAAGATATTTATTTTTTATTTTTTAACTAATCATACTTATATATCATACAATATGAATTCAACAAATAAATATAGTTTATTACCTTCATCTATTCTTTTAATATAATTATAGGTATAATGGAATATTAAGAATTGATATTGTACGTGGTATTCAGGTCGGTCTCAATGCTATTGTTAGCCATACAGCCCATACCATGCTTTGAATGAAAATATTACTATTATAAAACTTGTAATAGTCATTTAAATTCATTAGTTGTGAGTCAAAGAAAGAAAAAAGGTCGAAAAACAATTTAAATGCTGGCTTGGGGTCAGCATGCTATATAGATGTGTCCCTTCTTAACCAATCAATCTCGTATGTAACATTGTGGATTACTATTAAGTTAAATTTGATTTATTGCTGACTTAAATATTTGAGTGTTTATCTTGAAAATCCACCTCAAAATTTTACAGGTTTATTCAAAATGAAAATACGAACTGAAAAATGACTTCTAATTTGGTACACTTATAGACGTATTGAATATAATAGAGATATTGGTTTCCTTCTAAGACATATCTAACCACGTAATTGAGACATATATCCTATGAGGACACGTACTAGAATAATGTATAAATTAACATTTAAGAAAATTAATTAAATGAAAGTTTAAGCTGTTGATAATTTATCATTGGCCTTAGATAAATTGGCCTTAGATGGGAAAAAATGATTTGTAAGGGGCTACTTTGTAAAGGAGATAACTGTATTAATAAATAGATTGCCCTGTTTACCTTACGCCGGCTGCTTGTGATTGAATTGAAGATTTTTCTTGACATGGATGCATTACAGATTATCACAGGCAAATTACGATACAGATAAACATACGAAATGTATCCATAATATTAATTTCCTTTGACAAAAATTCTTGCTTTTTTAGGATTTTTTTTTCCTTTAACGAGTTGATTCTTTTTTTCTTTTTCTTTTTTTTTTTTCACACAAAAATCTGAAAATTTGTAATTTTGTAATTTTTCTTTAGATGTAAAATTATTATTACTAGTTTTTATAGCGATAGCGAATCAAATAATTAATTAAACTCTCATATAAACTTGTTAAATTTTTTTTATAATAGATAATGGATTATAGAGTATGAGAAAACTCTTTTGTTCTCTTATTTCTCTTAATCAACTTGAAATTCAAATTTAAAATTTTTAATATTAAAATCTTAATTCTCTAATCGCTTAAATAGAGTATTTAGTATAGCGATTCAAGTCTCAATAATAATTCAATAGTTAAAATTTTGAAATTTTAAGTTGAGAGTCTTAAGTTTGAATATTAAATTAAGTGAAAAAAAATTAAAAAAAAAAGGAAATACTATCTTTTTTTATACCCATCAAGATATATAAAAAAAATATATAGCAATTTGAAGGTAATAATTAATAATTTTGTCTAATTTAATCAATAATAATAATAATTAATTTATTAAATTAATAAAACCACTAATTATTAATTTTAAATTAGTATACTAAATAACTTTGAAGCATCGTTTATGGGTACTTGATTTCTC